TAATAATTTCCGCATTAAATTCTGTTTTGTCCAACGTTCCCGGCGTGCAATTCGTCATTGGTGTATCATGCCGCGTACGTCATCTCACAACGTTGAAAAGTTTCTCGCGATTTTTCTTAAACCGGCGCGCGAGCTCCGAGGCGAAAAATATGTATTCTCCCGGTAAACGCTGACGTAACAAACGTCGCGAATTAAACAGCCGAACGAAATTGTTTCGCTTAAAGTTTAAGCGCAAAAACTCGATTCTCCGCTGCCACGGCAGCAGGCAGCAGACATCTATCTCCCCGGAGATGAAAAACCCTTAAACGAGTTTCGTTCTCTCGTGAAGTTTCTCGCGCGCGCGATCCCGCCCAAACTTTTCTCGCCCGAACTTCATGGCGTCATCTCTTACTTGTCCGAAACGCCACATTGCACTTGCATATCAATGAAATCGTACTAAGTACATGCCGATGAAACGATGACAAAGAGAATAATGTACACACATTCTGACATACATCCATTTCATTGTTCGCCCGCGCCGGAAGTCTTAATCTTCTAAAATCCATTTTTCCACTTTTTGTCCGCTAAATATAGCACACAGTATGAATCACACAGTATGTAAATGCAGAACTTCAAGCGTCAATTTGTTTGACAAAGTGCTTTTTTTATAACATTATCATATTTGCAGGAAAACACGATCGTTTTCGCGCTGAAACGTGCGCGAAAATCGTAAAAACGATGAGAAATTCTGTATTTTTTGTCGCATTAAAAAAAAAAAACAATTACACAAATTGCATGTTGTATGACGCAATTGTTATGTGTCTAATACTATCTCCAAAACGAAAGTAATTGATAATGTAAACCTTGAATGATAGTATGATAACAAAACATTTTGCCAACGCGGGACATATTATTCCGACAGTTCAACAAACTCGATATATAACGAGGAAAACTTGTTTATTCTATGGGAATAATGATTAGCATCAATACTGTCGACCGGCACGCACAAACCACCTAGCTGCGAGCATTGGAAGAAAGCTCGATAGTATCAGACACGCTATTCCCATTCGCTCCTCGACAATTCCTTCTCGTTTCCTATTCGCGAGAAAGACTCAATGAGGGAACTGCGCCTTCTTCTACGTGAAAATATCGATTTGACTTCTTGCGCAACCAACTTTATGAATATATATTTTTTCCAAATATTTATTATTTAAAGTAACATTTTATACTATCACATCGTATTCAATTGGATATTCCTCGAAACGTCATTAAATATAATTAAAACGATTAATAATATAATTAAAAATAATACATGTATTTTGCCAACTCATGTAGAAACAACACTTGCTGGCAAATTTGAAAATATAACCAGATACAAACCTGAAAATAATTTTATTGAATCTTGAAGAGCATTAAATAATTATAAATTATTATTAAAGATAATTAAATATGATGATATATTGCAAAAATTTTTTTATCTTCTAGCAACCAATTTGAATGTCGTACAGAATAATTTTGAATATCCAATAAAATTATTTTCAGATTTGAAAATCTGACAAAAAAGAGATTTTAGATTTGCCGGTAAAACTGTTCTCTCTGTGCTTTATTATATTCCAGAAAATTTCAATATTATAAAAAAATTATTTGAAATAACGCAAAATAAATAAAATAAATCACCTAATTTTACTTTAGATCGTTTTAGTCGTAGAGAGACGACAGAAAATATCTGAAATGATATTTCGCATGCAAACCAAGATTTTACACAAGGATGATAACAAATTGGAGCTCTTCTTTATTACCCGTGAAAATGGCTCGTAACGCGTCCAATCGACGACACGAGGTCTGCATTGCAGATCTTTGGACTAACTATAACAATACCCAATAACAACGCACGGTGAAGTCACGTGTCTATAACGTTAATGGGCGTCTTAATTTCATGCATTGAGAACGGATCGATGGCTCTTACGGATTTTCAGCTGCTATCCCCATAAAGCCGGTTATGGTTTGTTTCTATGCACTGCCAGCCGCTTAAACCGGAGCTTTACGCCGCCCGGGGGAAGGCGCCAAGTTTGCAAGTGACGCACACA